ATTAAATACAACAAATATGAATGAAATTAATAATTTAACATCTCAATTAATATCTTTATCTTCTCTTGTTAATGAAACATTATATTCACCACTTTATTTTAATGAAGAAACAATAATAAAAATGAATGGTTTAAAATCTTATATTAATGATAAAATTAATAATATTCCTAAAGGAATAACAGAAAATAATAAAGTTATTAATGGTATTATTGTAAAACAATTAATTAATTATGGAAATGAAGAAGTAAAATTTGAATCTGTTGTTCCTTTCACAAATTTTAATCATCATTTTTATTATGATGATAAAACTTATAATCTCAAACAAAATAATTTATTTATTTCATTTGGAAGAAAATCAATTGATTGTTCAGCAATAATGAAATATTGTTGTAACTCAAATTCAAGTGATGAATATGTTTATACATATAGTAATAAAAATTATTATGTAGCAGAAATATATTATGTATTTAATCAAACAAAATCAAATGAATATGAAATAAGTTTATGTCATATTAATTTAGAAGGAAGTTATAATAAAATTAAAACATTTGATAAAATTAAAGTTTCAGATTTAGTACAAGAAAGAGAAGAAACAATTGATGAAACAGAATATATATTACCATCATTACCAAAACTTACAGTATAATTATAAATGATCTTTTTATTTAATCAAATTTCATCTTATATTTTTTACTTTTATTTTTATATTCAAAAGAAAAGAATTATAGAAAGAAATAGAGGAATTATTTCAGAAATAAATTTTGATTATATTAAACAAGTTAATGAACGATATGAAAGTTGTTATATCAAAAATTAATAAATAAATGAATTAATTTTAATTTAATCTGTTCCTGTTTTTTCTTTAACAAAATATTTGTTATTACAAATATATTCACAACCACCTTGTAATGTACATCTCCAGAAACAATCTTGACATACAAGCATAATTGGACATCTATCATTTGATTCTTTAGTTAAAGGATTAGTGATATAAGGATGTTCATTATTAGGAATTAATAAAGTTCCAGAAAGTGTTACATGAGCATTATCTTTAGTAATTCCATCACAAAATGTACCATAACCACTTAATCTTTCAGTACTACATAAGAAACAATATGATGTATTATCTTTAAGTGGTGGAATATATTTTCCATTTCCTGCTTTTCCTATAATTGAATTAGTATCTATTTCATTATATTCTAATGAATAAGCAAATTCTTTTGAAGGAGAGATAAATTATCTAAACCAGCATTAGTATATTATAAATAGTATGTGATTTTTCTATAGATGAAAATGGTTTATCAGGATAAGGTTTATTATCAATTTGTAATTGTAAAGATGCTAATAAAGGATTTCTACTACATGTTACTTCATTAGTTGTTCTAGGGAATAAAAACATTAAAGAACTTACATTTGTCATAGCATAAGTAGTATTACATTTTAAACCATTAGTCATTGGTTTTTGTGAAAATGCTTGATAATCAACATATTGAGAAGGAATAATTAATTCTTTTGTTTGATATTTTTCTATTAATTCATTTAATATACTATCTTTAATATTAAATCCATTAATATTTGTTCTACAATATTTTAAACTTCCATCTGTTATCATAAAACTTACTGTTGTATCTTTTCCAACAATAATATTTTGTGATTCACGTAATGCACCAGTAAATGAATGAACATTAAATGAATCACCTATTTGTGTAAATGCATGATATTCTCCATTTCTTTTAATTATATTATATATATCACTTTTAATTACTTCTGTTATATTATCTTTTATTTCATCTGATCCACTATATGAAGATGATGAAATATGTGAAATTTTATTTAATATTGTTTCTTGTTTACATTGACAAATAACAAAATTTTGTTGAATTGCCATTTTAACTTCAAGTGTTAAATTTCCAAATAATGCATTAGGAAACATTTTCATAGCAGCAAATGGTAATAAATCATCTATTGGAATAATTACTTCAAATTCTTTTTCAACTGTATTATCTGGTGATTTAATAAATTCTTCCATTGATATATAACATCCACAAATATTATCTTCCATATTATATGCTGATTCCCATTGTGTATAAATTCCTGGTTTATAATCTAATTCTTCTTGTGCTTTTAACATTCTAATAGCTGCATTTTCATATAATGCTTCTGTTTGTTCACATGCTGTTTTCTTATTTCTTGAATATACTCTATATGCATCAAATAAATGTGTTGATGATTTTAATCCTACAAAGAATACAACTGTTTGATTTTTTATACTTTCACATTTATTATCAAATTCTGGATTTGAAATACCTGGTGCTTTTAATTCATTCCAAAATTGTGAACTTGGTTTAATTTTAATATTAACTAATGCTGTAATAGATGATTTATC